TTGGTGAGATCTGTGGTATTTACCAAGTAGTCGAGCACCCCTAAGCCAGCCACCACCCCACGCTGCCCTGTGGTCTTGGCCCTGACCAGCTCCATGCCCTGGACAAAGCAGCTCGCCCTCTTGCACACCTCTTTCCTAACGCCAATCCAGACTGTTGGAAGGGCACTGAGCAGGCCGCACAGCTCTCGGTAGGGGGACAGCTGGGGTCAAGTACTGGAGCCCACCTGACTCCAAAGAGCGGCCCAGCACAGAGAGAGGTGGGTTACCACACTACAGACACACAGCATAGTGGCAACTCCGCATCCAAGCCCGGTGATGCCCACACCCCACTCCTTCCCTCGAAATGAGATCTCCCCTCCCCAGAGCCCCGTGGAGGGCACGGCCACCATCTGCTGGGGTCTGCCCTGGGCCCCCACACCCGCACTCTTGCCGCTGAAGCCCTGCCTGGCAGGGCGGCTCTGCCCAGCCAGTTCCAGGCTGCCTTTCCTGGGGAAGTCCCCTCGGCCACCTCAGTGTCCCATGGTGGCAGCCCTGACTCATCCCGAGGTGCCTCTGGCAAGGGCCAGCCGCACCCCACAAGCACCACTGGGGCCGCAAGGCTTCGCTTCTGGGAGGCAACTGGCCATCCTCTCCCCACCAGTGAGTCCTGCAGATCCCTGCTCAGAGCCCACCCAGTGCTCTCTCTGCCAGCCCCACTGCCCCCAGCTTCCCTGTCTCACCCCGACTCCAGCCCCCTCCCTATTCTGCTCCCTCTCCGCACAGAACTCACTCCCCATGTACCCCAGGACCAGGGTGGAGACCTTGTTCATGGCTGCACCCCAGGCCCAAGACAATCGCAGCCTTGGCAGACAATCCTTAGAGATCGAACAATGGCCCCGGTAACCAATGCCCAGAGGGCCCTGGCCTGCCTGGATCCTTGGGCCCCTCCATCAGACCCAAACCCACCCCCAGAAACCCCCCTTTGAGTAGCGACCACCACCACGAGCACTCACAGCTCCAATGCCCACCCCAACACAGCATCAAGATTGGAGGCCCAGGGAATGTTCCAGAAGAGGAAACCACGGATCTGGGTCCAAAAGGCAAAGGCCCCTCACAGTGACCAAAGGCACATGAGCTGGGAGCAGATTTCAGACCCGGCAGGGGCAGAGGTGTCACCACCCGCTCCATGCTACCCCGGACCCTTGGCGGAGGCAGCCTCCAGCCACTCTGGACTGGGCAACACCAACACCATGTGACCCTTTGCTGGGGAGGGACCCCCAAGCCCTCTCGACCCCCCATGGCGTACACACACACATACACGCATGGAGCCCACATGGGCTCAGCAGGGTGACTTCACACTCAGCCACGAGATTTCTAAGGACATCACAGGCAGGAGGAGGCACCGGCAACGGGCCTGAATTTCCAGCAGCTGCACTGGGGGTTTTGTGTAAATCTTTTGTTTCCTCTGGTTTTTGAAAGGGAATCTAGTACACATGTTTTGTCACCTTCCCTGGCCCCTCACACACATTAAATATCAGCAATCGCCATAAATGACACCCATGGCCCCAAGATGCACCACAAGGATTCCCGGTAAGAAGGTGCTGTCTGCTGCCTGGCTCGTGTTGGAGAAGGCGCCCCTTCCCCTGCTGGAACTGTCCTGAAACTGCACGGGAGCGACTGCCTCCTGTCCTTGCTAGTCAGGATAGAACCTGAAACCCCTGTGCTTGTTCCCCATCTTAACTGTGCTGCTTCCTAAATCCCCTGGCCCAAAGGTGAGCCCGACACTTGCTTGGCAGGCTCACAACATCCACCGTCTCACTGTCCTGGTGGTGGCAGTCCCGCGAGGGTAGCCCAGGGCATCGCCCACCACCCCGCCTGCAGCGAACACCCCACTGGACAAATGTGGCCCAGGATTGCCTCAGTCAGTGCACCTGGGGACTGGTCACCACAACAGAGGTAGGCCAGAAGACCCCAGGGACCACCATGGGCTCAGCATGAGATCATGGAAAGGAATCTGAAAGAGGACACCAGCCACACAGAGGAAGCTGTGAGAGGAGCTGCCCGGACAGCGAGCCCACCTGCAGCCACCCCACTCCCAGGGTGGAAGCTCAAAGGGGACCTGCCAGCCCTCCCACCCCACACCCTCCCCACTGCCTCCCACAGGGAGGCACAGGCCTCCAGACACACTTGCACAGCTAGGGAGAGGGTGGGCTCCACCAAGTCAGTTACACAGCCCACTCTACTCTGAAGTCGGGATAGAGGTCGCCCCCCAAACACGGCGTCCTCTCCACCTCGACACCACCTCTACCTAGAATTGACGTGTCATTTCACTTCAAATCGAGAAATCTCACATCAAAATAAAATGTTCGAGTGCTGAGGAGCACGGTGCCCATCCTGGGGAGGGGACCCCGTCACTCCAGACACACGCCCCTCAGAAGGCGCCTCGCAGGGCTTGCCGCATGGGTGTAAGCGGAGGCTGGGAAACAGGGGAAGGAACGTGCCCCTCCACTGGCCATGCCAGCCCCTCCCCTCCGCCCAACAGACTCACTCTCAGGAGGGCCAAGGGCTCCATAAAACACACGGGCACCCCTAACGTGAAGGCCTGGGGGTCGAGGCAGCAGGGACAGTTCAAGGCCAAGGCTTACACGCCTGTTGTGAGGGATCCGGCGGGGTTAGCATGGGTGGCTTCAGGGGGACCAGAGGATGTTTTGGCACCTTCCAGCTCTGCTGACACAGGTCAGGAGACCCCTCACAGCCAGGAGGGGCAGACCTGGGTCAGGCCAGGTGGTCTGTAGGAGTGCCTGCCCCTCCTTCCCCTTGCACCAACCACCACCCACATTCTGGTCCCCAAGTCCCACTGCTCTTGTGGGGAGCCAGGAAGCCTGTTTCTGAAACAGCCTGACACTGCCTGTCCCTAGGAACACCTCCCGGGGTCTCTCAAACTTGCTCCACTATCGCCCCAGGAGACCACCCAAAGACCTGGACACCTCCATAGACTGTTCAGGGCATCTGCGAGGGTGTTGGGAAAGAACTTGGATACATGCTGGCGACTTCGTGATTGGGCAGGTGGGACCCTGACCTATGACCACGCGGAGTGGACCCTACGCAGCAGGCCTTTGGAAGGGGCTCCAGCCTGGCTTTTTCTGGCTTTTGCAGGACTTTCCCTCCAAAAGGCAAAGTTAGCGCCCCTTCCCCAGGCCGGCCGCTGGTCATGGGGCACCACACAGACTGCCACACACACCACAGTGTGGCAGCTCACGTTAAAATCAGACGCATCGGCCCATAACCAGGAAGCGGGTTGAGTTTCCGATGACCCTTCCTACAGCAATATGCAGAGCGTCCAGCACAAGCGCCCAGTCCCCGCTGCTAGTCGCACCCCCGCTCAGCTGCACCTCCACGTGCAGCTCAGCCCCCAGCCGTGCCTGGCGCTCCCCTCCTGCTCATCCGGGCTGGTGCAGACACACCGGATTCCTGACAGGCCCTTAGCAGCAGTGGGAAAGCAGGCAGAGAGGAGAAGACCCCGGACCCCAGCCCACCAGCTCCCGGGTGAGACACACACCCTGCTGGAAGCCGCATCTGCCGGCCCTGACGTAACTGTGCCCGGCTCCTCGCAGCCAGGTCCAGGGGCGCCGCTTGAGAGCCCGAGAGTGAGAGGCACAAGGAAATGAGCAGGCGGGAAACTACCTCTGGCTTAAAACAGATGACACTCAAGGTCTGGAGAGAAAGGGAACGGGGTCTGCCCAGAGCAGGCGCCAGCCGGACACCCGGGTGTCCTCAGCAGGGCAACTGAGGCTCGCTCCAGGAGCCCCCAGCCGGAGCGGCCCACCTGATGCCCAGAACCACCCAGCTGAGCTCGCGGGTTCCCCTTCTCATCTCACCTGGTTTTAACATACCCAGGTGTTTCCTCTGCGAAAAAGAATCTGGGATGCTCCTCACCCCAAGGGAAGGGTCTCCCAAGAGAGGCAGGCGGGACCCTGAATCACACAGCAGGCCAGCGCCTTCACCACCAAGTCCCTGACCTGTGACTGTCTGCAGGCTCCCAAAACTGCCCGAGCAGTCAGTGGGCTACAAAGGATCTGGGGCTCAGCCACAGGACCTGACCCTCGACTGACCTCGCCCTGGAGCAGGGAGCCTGAGGGCTGCAGGATGAGAGAGCCCGGCAGGGCAGGCCCGCGGGTGCGTGGGTGACACCAGGTCCTTCCTCTTTCTCAGCAACCCCGGAAGGAAGGGCCCGTTGGGCTCCAGTTCCTAGAGGGGAGCTGAGACCAGAGATTAAGCAGCTCGCTCAAGGTGACCTGCTGTCAGCAGCAGGGGGCTGGGACGTGGGGCCGGGATGGAGGAAAAGGGCTGGAGGGACTCCCTTCCCAAACCCATCCCGCCCCGAGAAAGTGAAAGTGCCAGAGCCCTCCGGATTCCAGCGACAAGGAGGGGCAAGGACACCGGCCCTGCCCGGCTCTGGGAAGGCAGCCCCGTCCCCGTTCCCCTGGACAGCCGTCCTTCCTGCTGATGACCCCACGGGAGGTTCAGCTCGTCCAAGGTCAGGCGAAGGCAGAGCTGGGATCCCGCCCTCGCGGGCTTATCTGACGGCGGCGGCCCTCGGTCCCGGTCCCGGGCAGGAGCAGAGCAAACTCGGCGGGAGCAGAAGACACCGAGCCAGGCCGCCCCGGGGGTCTCCGCTCCACCCTGCCCACCAGGTGCCACCAGGGGCCTAGGGATGCCCGAGAGTGAGCGTCTCCTCCCCCGGTGCCCACAGCTACCTCCAGCAGCGCGCACAGCCCCTGCCCAGTCCCACGCGACTCGCGACAAAGCACGCGCTTCCGGTCCCCACTCTGCCGGGCCCCTGCGGGGTGGCCGTCCAGGGGACTGGGGGGGGCTGCAGACCCGGAGG